TAAGCCATGCCATTAAAGGCCTCATCTCAATGTTTTTTTGAACGCTTCCAGGGACACATATTCCACTACTTCCCTGGGCCACCTGTTCCAATGCTCGATCACCTTTTGGTGAAGAAATTTTTCCTAATACCCAGACTAAGCCTCCCCATGCCCAGCTTGAGACATGAGATTAAAATGTGGTGATTTTTTTTTTTTTTAAATCTCTCTCCTATAATTCAACCATTTTCATTGCTTTATATAATTAAATTCACTAAGAGTTACCAGACAATGGGAGCTGTAGCCCCATTTTCTGATCTGATAAATTTAAAATAAATAAATTATATATGTACACACTGCCATAAAGGATCCTCTGCCTTAGGCATCAAACATCTTTAAAGAACTGATATCAAACCCTAACACACGACAGACAGAAGGAGGAATCCAAGTCAGGGAAAATTCCATATCAAATTGGAAAAATGCTTAGCAGTCTCCAGAGCAATCCAAGTCTGGAAAGGCAAATCAAACACATATAGAAGATGACCATGGGAAAGAGTCATTTCATTGACACACTGTTCTCTTTCCATATCATTCCTGAATGTCTTACAGGTTTTTTATGGATAAGCATATAATAAATAGGGGGCTAATACTTGTCCTCTGGTACTCAACTTCAGAGACTTCACACCAAAATCCCAATTAATACTTTCCCAATCTCATAAACAATCACAAGCTTGGCAATGAATTTTTCAAAAGTAAGCTTTTTACACTCACAATATTTTTACAGATAGGAACATCACAGTCTTCATAAAAAGATATACCTGCACACAAGACTTGATATTCCATACGTATGCATCAAGTACTCAACTTTATCCAGAGAAGTTTCCTATCAAATTTTACAAGTTAAAAATAACAGGGGTGTACATCATGCAAAACTACAGGAGTGGAGAATTTTAACTTTTAAGTTGGCAACAGTCTAACTAAAACCAGACATTGGTTACAATATTTTATCAACGTTTTCTTGTTTACCAAACCCCCAGAAGACCCTCCCAGTTCTTTCCAATGTGCCAAAATGTAACCCAATGGGCTTTTCTTCAGAATTCCCTTATTTCGACCGGCTCCCATTTCAAGCAATCTTTTACAAATCTACAAATGCACTTAAAAATATGAGAGCACCTATACACAAGTTTTATGATATTCTCAGGGGTTCAGTGAAATAATATCTCTGGGTTCTGCAGATCAGTTTCCCTGTTGTTAGATCATAGTTTCGGTTCCAGCAAAATTTACACTAGTATCCACAGCAGGTTCCACTGTTCAGAAGTTACTATGCACCCATATGTGAGGCTACAAGCCTCTGGTACTGAGTGTAAAGTCCAGATCTCAAGAATAGGACTACAGATATTAGAGGTTATACTTCTCTTATACAGCCACTTGGGCCGCAGAGAGGGAACTCGTCTTAAACCCCCATTAGCCACAGTTTACTTTTGTCTATTCCTCCCCCACCACTTAAAACACTAATCTTTAACACTAACGACAGACATATACACACACAAAGCAATTAGGCACAACACAAAACAAAGACGCTTTGTCAGTGGCCGCTCTCCTCGCGGAGAACACAGAACCGCGGATCAGGACTCCACACTCGCTTCGTAGCTGTGCTACGTCTCAGTCACACAGAAACACAAACACACATGGGATCCCACACACTCACACTATGGTTCCGCCTTACCCTTCTCCTGCTTCTTATGGTAGCAGGTCTGTCCTGGTTCCCAGAATTTGAGATGCAGCGGAGACCTGGTGGGTTGGCCTACCCCTTCACCTGCTTCCACTACGGTCATTAGCAGATCCTTCCTGGCTCCCAAAACTTGGGATGCAGCAAAAACCCGAACTCACCCGATCCACCCTCAGGATCGCTAGCGGCCGCTCTACCGGTCGGCGAGTCCCCTGCTTGCAAGCCCTACCTGCCAAGGGGAACTACGCTGTGCGCCAGACGTCTCTGCGCGCCTTACCAGCAGCCCCGGGCCACGCGTACACCTTACAGGCCCCCTAAGTTTCAAGCATACCGTTTCTCCGCAGCCGGCACAGGTTGTTGTCTGTCCTCGCAGTGAGCGGGCGAGGAGCGGAGCTCCTCCAGGCAAGCGGCCTGGGGCGCCTAGGATGTCCGCCCCTCAGCCGATCCTGCAGCTGAACAGAGACCTCCTGCCCGGCTCACCAAATTGATGCGCGGATTGACTCCACAACTCGTTAAAGTTGTAAAGTAGGTATGCTTTTTATTCAGCGCTGAGACGCATGGGGATAATTCCTCAAAGTCATGCGTACCTCAGTGTTGTTTCCCTCTACATTTATTCTCTAAAGTTATATATATTCATAAGGTTGCACAACACGCCTATACATATTCATGTCCTATCCCCGCTTCATATTATAATGAGCCAGAAGGTCCTCTGTGCCTGCGCAGTGCCCCCTCTGGTCATGGGCAGGGGTCTCAAGATGAAGTAAATGAGTCTTCCTCCTCTGGGTAGGGGTCTTCAAGATGAAGTAAATGAGTCTTCCTCTTCTTGCACTTTTCACTTTTTTTTAGTCTTTACGTGTGGCCTTAGAGTTTGGTCAGTGTCCCAGCCGTAAATCCTCTACTTCTCCCCTTTATCAGTAGAGTTTGGTCAGTGTCCCAGCCGTAAATCCTCTGCTTCTCCCCTTTATCAGTAGATTCAGGCGTCTGCTTATCAACAGGACTGGAGGTCTCTGTTCTGCTTAGCAGGCATTTACAACAGATAGTCCTTTTGTTTAAGCAAGCAAATTCCTCTAACCCCCTTGTACAACCCCCCTGTACATTGGTCAACCCTCTGTATCAGACATACTTACATTTACCAACTTCTAGTACATGAGTATCACAGAGAAACTGTATGGGCTCCCCCTGTCAATTGCAAGAAAAAATCATAACATATACAGCTTGAGTATAAGAGGATTTTAATGCATACTTGGTCACTGTTTGTCAGGCCTCCTTAACTATTTTGAGATCAAGAGCTTCCCACTCTTTAGCCCCCTGCTGTGTAGTAAACACAGGATATGCAAAGATGCCCATTGCAGAAAATTCCCCAGTAATGATCGCATCCTTGGTTACCCATTGTTACAACTGAGCGTCTCCAGGGCCAGTGAGTCTGAGCAGACCGACCCAGGAGAGGAAGAGTCAGAGTCTGGAAGCAGAGGATATAAATCTGGCTCAGGATTCAGGGGATTCAGGGGCTGATCCTGGGCCAAACTCAGCGTCTCCGTTGCTTGCAGCTGTGTCTTTCTTATCAGATGTCTCTCGTTCGGTATGTAGCCATCTGCAGACCTGGCTCCTCCCTGACTGAGTTAAAAATTTCCACTCTAGGGCACAGTGGGTTGGAAAGGCTCGCAGTTCCTTTAAATCTCCCACTAGCGCATAATCTCTATTTTCTACTGCGTGCTTCAAAATTGCGCCCCAATCGATCCGGCGCCGAGGCACCACCCTGTTCCTTTCAGCTTCCTCGACATTCATCATGCGTATCCCTTCTAATGTACTTTCTCTGTCCTTTTCAAAGTCCCTACTTTCGGAACTGGGGTGGTGGGGGAGCAGGGGGTTACACCTCCTCCGCGGCAACTTCTGATGAAGGAGGGGGAGAAAAGGAAGTGGGGGGAAACCCTGTGCTCCCGCGAGTTGGGGGAAACGAGTTGTAATCTTCCCCCGGTTTCAACCGACCGGGGATGTCTGTTCCTAGTTTCTCCGTTGCTACCGCGGCAGTTTTCTTTTCCGCCTTGTATCTTTTTATACAGTTTATTACTTCTCTCCGTGGTTTACCGAGTTTCTTTGCCGTTTTATCATCATTAAGCATTGAGTCAAATAGGTCATCACCAAACTTTCGCCACTCTCCTCAAAAACTGTATTAGGATCTACTAAAATCCCTTAGCCTTCCCTACAGCCACTAGACCTGCTAGCTGCTTTAGAGTCTCAGGCTCAATTCCCCGCTTTTATAAAAAGCACTGTAATAAGTCCAGGGCTACCTCTCGGTCCATTTTCATGGCTGGCCTTTTCCGGATCGTCTTCTTCTGGATCGTCCTGTAACCTCGGTCTCCGGATCGGCCTCCCGAAGCAGCAGTGTCTGGTTCGCCCCAGCGGCGGACTCCTTTCGGTTAGTCCAAGCACCCGGGTCCGTCACGCCACCGCAGCAGCATTGCCCACGCTCCCCGGCCGCTGCCGCCGCTCACTCGCCGTTCCGGGTCCCTGATACTCAGGGCCCTGTAATCCGGGTCCCCGCTAACCGGGGCCCATTAGTCCATGGGCCCTGTTTGGGCGCCATTTGTAAGCGGCGAGGAGAAACAGACAGGCCAACCCAATATGGGTGATAAGCAAACTTCTACTTTATTTGTGACGTAGTTCACTTATATAGGAGTGGTATTCAGCTACTCCTCCTAGGCACAACAGTATTGGTTAGACCCACACAGCTTCCTCCACATTCTCCTCCCACCTCCGGTTTCCGGTTACCTGTGGGGCCTGCCCCTTGCCTTGCTCTCACAGGCCTCTAAGGCTCCGTGGACTTCCTCTTAGAGCCATTCTGCAACAGGGGCTCAGAGCAAAGGACAAGAATTCAGGAAAAGCAATAGACCAGCATCTGAAAAAAAATTGTTTCTGGAGCCTTTCTGCTGTCCTTTCTGATACAAACAGCCCCTACTTCAGCAAGGTTAAACCAGGCATCAATGCACAATATGTGTCCCTTTGCTAACAATTTAAAACATCCTTGTACATAGATGAATTTCTTTCTGTTCCCAAGAAGTTCCACACATCCGCAGCGCCAACTGGTTTGGCTGCTGAATAGAAGTATTTGTTGATGTGAGGTTTATTGCACAAATAACCTCTTTCCTTGTGGCTTTCTTCTCCATCCTCCTTTTGCCCCTTCTGCTGGATCATGCAGCCTCTTTACCCCTGATGGTTTTGTGCACTGTTTCTGAAATTTTTGTGTCCCAGTTCTGCCTTAAGCGTCTATGTGACCTCTCTTTTCCTTCCTCTGCAGGCTGATGCCAAGATGGTCTGTGATGTTGTAAGTCGGATGGAGGACACAGAGCCCTTCTCTCCAGAGCTGCTGTCAGCTATGATGAGACTCTGGGCAGACTCTGGGATCCAAGAATGCTTCAACCGATCCCGAGAATATCAACTTAATGACTCAGCCCAGTAGTGAGTATTCCTGTCCATAGATTTTGGCATTAAGAAGCTGCATTTGGGCTTGTTAAAGTTGTAAATAAAGTTAATGATCTCATAGTAGCGGATCTGAACATGGTTCTGCTTACAGACTGGGATGTGTGCTCTGTCACAGGCTGCTGCAAGGCAGAAAGGATCAGGCAGGACATTCATGTCCCCTCTGGCCAGTCTGGGGTCAGGTCCATTCCCAAACTACTTCCAAACAGCTCAAGTTGGATACAGTGAGCAAAGGCAGACCAACTTGCTGACGTGGCTGGTGGCTTCTTCATTTGTCTGATAGAAGGGTGTGATCACCTGCTTTGTATAGCAGTACATCTCGGGTTTGCTTTTCTAATAGTCATACACTGTACTGGTAGGCAGCTGGGCTACCACTGGGGTAAGGGACATCTTTACTTTTACAGTGACATCATTTTATTCTCATAATACAGTCAGTGGTATCTCTGCCATTAGGGACCACATCCAGATTCTAAAGGTGATTGTCTGAATCCATGGCTTTGGTTCGTTCTGTCATAAGGACAGGGCATCTACCCTTAAACAGCTTCTCTGGCTCTGAAGAAACATTGAGTGCCTCTCCAATTTCATTTTAATTGGATGAATTATCATTTCTAATGGTAATTCATCCAATCTGTTTGCCTCCACCTAGGCAAGGAGGCTAAAGCTTTTCATCCCATAATTTCAATTTCATCATGTGTCTTGGGCAGTAGTCAGTAAAACGTGGTTAAATATAAGCATAAGGAACAAGCAAGCAGAGAGATCTTTTCCCCAGTTATATCCTTGGACCTTTTGGTAGTCAGAGAAATAGAGGCTGTCCCAATGGTGACAGGGGAGTGCTATGTCCATGCTTTTGGCTTTCACATTACCCCATGTCAACAAGTTCACCAGCTGACTCATGCACTTTGGGAGTTGTGTGTTTTGATTGGCATCACTTTGTAGGGTTTCCCTGGATATCTATCAAAACATGAACCCAAGCACTGGCATGGTTGATGGGTTTGATCTGTGTGATGAGCCTGATCATCCCCAGTCTGCATCAGCTTCTCCCATCCAAGCTGTCAGGGCAGTTGGGGAGTGCAGGATTGTTTCTGCTCTTGCGGTGCTACAGCAGAAGGCGAGTGATGACACTTGGCACTGACCAAAAACCAAGTGGGAAACCATTGTTTGGTTGGTGTCACAGCATCCCACCCAACCATTTTTCACCACAAGCAACTACATCTCAATGCTGATCCTGACATTATGCTGCCTTTTAATCACTACTAGGTGGACATTCATGTTTCATCTATATTTCATTGTAATAGCAAAATCAGCCTTCTCTTGCCAGCAATTTTTTCCCTCCGCAAAAGAAAGGTTTGATGGCATAAACATACCTTTAGACATATAAATTATATAAAATACCAGTCCTAATTGCATTACAACCTTGTGGAAAATTCTTCAATTATTTTAGAGCAAATTACATTGAGGAAAGTATTTTGATTTTCCTTCCATGTGAGACAGCAGTTGAAAACAATAAGCAGAGCCCTCCCAGTGTGACCAGCTGCTGGCAATTCATCAGCAAGAGCTCTGAAACCACAAGCAGTTTCTAGACATCAACTGAGGAGGTTCTGTGCTGCAATTCACAGCAATATCAATATGTGGTTGCAACCCAGGTAAAGGAATTTTGGTGTCTTTAACAAAATCTCCTTCATCTGGAGGAGGATGCAGGATCCTCCTTGCCAGGGGAGGGCTGTTCTGCCTCTCCTTTGCCATGCTGTGAGTTGTGCCATGGCTGAACACTTCTTTTCTCTGGGCTAGGTCAGATGGTGAAGCTGAAGATAACAAATTCCTTCACATTTGGGGACCTGCTGCCATTTAGGAGCCTCTGATGGTTTGGTGACCAGGAGCAGAGATGTTGTCACAGGGCAGAGCAGTGTAATGTGCCCTGCTGCACCTCAAGGCCCTGGTGCTATCACACCAGATGGTGATGGGAGTGAGAGCTCACTTGACACTTATTCACACCCAGTGGACTTCAGTGAAAAGAGGCATATTTGTCATTTCAGTGCTTTGGTTTTTTTTTTCTTCTGCATGAGTGAAAGATTTTGGACATTTTTCTATGTCATTCCCCCCCCCCTTCTCCCCCAGGAAAGGGCTTATCTTTATTGACACTGCTATGTGATTTAAAACACTAGCAACTACAAAATGTGTCTTCAGTTTGGTCTGAGAAAACTAAATTCCAGACAAGAACTGAATCTGAAGTTCCCAAAAGTTTGATTACCTGGACTAGCACCACTCTTATTTCAGGTTTCTTTTGGTGTTAAGCAATAGGGACTGGTATTTTGCTGGCAGGAGGGAAGTTTGATGCAGGAGTCAGAGATCATGCTCAGTATGTGTCACAAAGCCCAGAGGCACCAAGTGACCAAGTCCTGTTATGGCCAGCATAGGTGGGACCTTCATAAATGGTCCAGGCACTTCCCTTCACCCCAAACACCACCCACTGAACTGCTTTTCAGAACCCCCCTCCACTGCCTAACTATTTCTAAGTAATCACCACTTGGGCTTCTCCGAGTCAGTGCTGCTGTTGTCCCACATTGCTCTTCCAGTGCTTTACCTTGAGTTTTTATTAATGGCTTGAACAACAGGCCTTCTGTTACAGCCCCTGGGAGACCAAGTCACAGGCTAATCGACAGCCTGCCAGAGCTATCTGCACAGTTCATACTAGTCTAGCACTAATTCCACGAAAAATAGATTTAACAGTTTGTATTAGCCTAAACAAGAAGTGAGTTCTGTCTTTCTTATCAAAGATGGGCAGAAGTGCATTGCATTCTACTGTCCCATGCATGCCTACCTAACAGCATGGACTTCCCTGAAAAGCTTTGATTCTTTTAGGCTCTAAAGTCAGCCTGGCCTTAGCAAGGATTTCATAGCTACTGCAAAGGAACAGTGGAAAGCAGCACTTTTGCAAAGAAAAAACATGGCTGAGGGGAGGTTCTGTAATGGGCCTCCTGTGTCTTGGACAGCAAAAAGTAAAACCATAAGGACAGAAGAGAGTAGGATAGAGTAGTTGGTTTCATCTTTTTTGTTACTGCATTTTTTCAGCATTCCCTAAGGCAAATTTATGGTTGGGTTGAGTTCCACATTCCTAATCTCTTGATTATGTTTTTACTCCTACTTCATCTCCTCTTCCTTTCTTGTTTACATGCCTAGGAGCTTATCATGGTTTAAGCCAGTAACTCAGAACCATACAGCTACTCCCTCACTCCCCTGTTCTTCCCCCACACACACTCCCAGGGGGATGGGAAGGAGAATAGAAAGAATGTAAATCCCACAGGTTGAGACAAGAACAGTCCAATAACTAAGGTACCATACAAAACTAATACTACTACTATCACCAGTAATAATAATGATAAGGGAAATAACAAGGGGAGAGAATATAAAACTAAACAGGGAATGGAAAAGAAACCCCCAAAATAAACCCAAGTGATGCACAATTGCTTATCACCCGCCAACCAATACCTAACCCGATGGTTTAGATACTGGGCATGACATGCTGTGGTATGGAATACCCCTCTGGCTACTTTGGGTCAGGTATCCTGTCTCTGCTTCCTCCTGGCTTCCCATGCCCCTCCTCACTGGGAGAGCATGAGACTGAAAAGTCCTTGAGCAGAGTAAGTATTACTTAGCAACAACTAAAAACATTGGTGTGTTATCAGCACTGTTCTCAGACTAAAGTAAAAAACACAGCACTGCACCAGCTACTAAAAAGGAGAAAAATAACTACTACAGCCGAATCCAGGACAGAGCTAAATCTACCTCTGATCATCAAAGAGTCTGGGTACTGCTGATGTCTTTTTCTTCTCTAGCCAGTTTCTGTCTATGGAAGCATGTCTGTGACCCACATTTTGCTTTCAAAATGAGCAAAATAAAGATTTCCAGCTGGTTTCCTTATTCTCCTACTTTTGTTCAGATTTGAAATTGTCTGTTCCTAGCCTCAAGTTCCTAACTAGCCTGGTTAGTGGAGCACAGTACATAAGGCAAGTTTGAGATTAACCACACAGGGATGGGGACCTGCTTTGAGCAGCCTCTAAACTTCAGGAAGGGGAGGAATGGAGCAGACACAGCATTCACACAAGCACTGATTTTCTATGTGCATATCCAAACAGTCCCAGGCCCTGCAAGATGTGTAGGCAGAGACAATTTGCAAGTACACAGACATAAAAAAGCCAGAATCCATCTCAAGTTATTCTCCTACTTCCAAGTACACTGAAAGATCATTTTGTAATGCCAGGGCTGTGAAACTACCATGAAAATGTAAAACATTTTAAGCCTGCATTCAACCTATCCGTCTTCACACATATCAGAGGTGTCAGGGCTGGGAAGCTTGTTGCCTGTGGCTCTCTCTATAGAGAGTGAAGGGAGGGAGAGATGCCTCTAGAAAGGGATACAAACCTCACTGCTGAAGAAAGAGAGATGCAATTGCATCTGCTGCTTTACTATAACTAACTGCAGCCTTGATGTCTCAGGTCTGTACCAAATACCGAGCCCAAACTGGACAATTCCAAATACCAAGCCCAAACTTTGGTTACTTCATCTTCCAGAACTCCTCTGGCAGTGCCTTGTAGAAAAGCAGCACCAAACTCAAAACAAAATACCACAGTGCCTTCCTTTTCACCCTGTCTTGTGTGGGACTTTTCAGATCTCTTTTCCTGGCAAAAGAATTGTCTTTGCATGATGGTCTCACCTTCCCTACTGATACTTATTGCATCCCACATGCCAACTCATACTTTGCATTGAGAAAACAGTTAAGGAAGTAGAGCCAGATGCTGTTGTGATGTGGTGAGCGGCTTCCAGAGTGAGCCCTGACAAAGCAGCATTGGAACAGGGTGCCTAGAGAGGCTGTAAAATCTCCATCCTTGGAAATACTCCATGCTGAGCCACCTGAGCTAACTTACAAACTGAATTTAACTTTGAAGTTGGCCCTGCTTTGAACAGGGAGATGGTCCAGATGA